GGCTCCCGGTGGTCTTCCGGATGCGCTTCAAGGTATTGGTTACCACCTTTAGAGCGCTCCATGGCTTAGGACCCAGGTATTTACGACCGCCTTCTGCCACCGATAGCTTCCCACCGACCAGTATGCTCCCACAGAGAGGGGCTCCTCAGGGTGCCGTCGGTCAAACAATGTCGACTGGCGGCCCCCAGGGGTAGAGCCTTCTCCGTGGGAGCACCTACCCTCTGGAATGAGCTGCCCCCGGAGATACGGCGGATCCTGGATCTTCACACCTCTCGTCGTTCCCTAAAGACATTTTTATTCCAGCAAGCCGGGCTGGCCTAACTCTTTTAATTTGTTTTAACTCTTAAATTGTTAATTATCGGTTTTAATATAAGGGTGTTTTAATTGTGAGCCAAATTAATTTAATTGGATTTTAATACTGTTTTAAATTTTGTATTTCTTGTGTTTTAGCTGTTGGCTGTTCACTGCCCCGACTCCTTCGGGAGAAGGGTGGTATATAAATATAAACAAATAAAAAAAAAAATTACTGTTAAAAATAAATTCAACTTTTTTGAAACCTAAGTCTTACTCAGGCAACCTTCCATTCTCTATTGTCAGAGCACTACCCTTTATAACTTTTTATAGTTATTACATAGATTATTCGACAGGACTTTTTTCCTTTTTTATTATAACCATTATTTTATTTTATGCGGTTTTAGAAAACTGTAAAAAGTTGTTTGAGGAGCTTCTATAATTCAATGTGGACTTTGAATCTGAGTCTCTCTGGTTTTAGATCAGAATCCTAGCCATCACGGCATTTCACACACTTAATTGGGGAGAAAAATAATCTTGCTGTATTCTAAACCAAATCTGGTTTACAGATCAAAATTTGCAAATTTAATCGAACTTCTGAATGAACTGAAGAATTAAAGTTACACCTTCTTTGCAAGTACAGTAGAACATTTTTAATATCGAAACTACCATTTGAGTATAGAATCGCTTTCTGGGTTTGCATACTTATATAAGTACTATACTGAGAAATGACTAAACTTCCTTGCAAAGAGATTGAGTTAAAGGGTTGTTTGCATACATCAGTTATTCCCAGGAAGGAATGCAGTTTGGTGCTGCATATACTTTGGTGTTGTTTGATCTTGAGCTATAGGGTAAATAAGGGCCTTGAAATGATTTGTCACTGTCATGTTCTGAACCTACAAGGAATTTGCAGAGGTTATGTAAATTATAGTTTAAGTTATTTTCTTTTTCTCTAAAGTAAAACGATAATTAGTATTCTGTTGTATCCCTAGACTACCTTTTGTAGGAATTATAATAAGTGCTGGTGCTGCTGGTGGAAGAATTGTTATGCATAAATATGGCCTTTAGATCATTATCTCATGTTTCATTGAGAGAGCCAGATGCCGTGAAACAATTACGTTGTGCATAGATTGAAGAACGGGAGTTTCCTATACCTAGTTTCAAAGAAGATATGTGGCATAAAGCTCTGTAGCAGTGTGCAGTTCTTTCTATTGTGATTTGATCATTATGCTGACCCTCTAGTAATTCTAGTTTTGTTCTTTGCATAGAGTCAAGTTTCAGTGGCATGTATTCTTGATCGACTCATATTTAATAGTCAAGAAGACTTCTGCCTGTTATATGCTCTCCGTCCTTTTTAAGTTTCTGATTTTTTTTTATTTTTATTTTTTTATTTATATGCCACCCTTCTCCGGAGACTCAGGGCGGCTTACAATGCGCTAAGCAATAGCCTTCATTCTTTTGTATATTTATACAAAGTCAGCTTATTGCCCCCACAACTGGGTCCTCAATTTACCTACCTTAGAAAGGATGGAAGGTTGAGTCAACTTTGAGCCTTGGCGAGATTCGAACCTGCAGTAATTGCAGGCAGCTGGTCTTAATAACCAGTTTAATAACAGGGTGCCTTAGACCACTGTACTACCAAGGCTCTTTCCATTTCCATGATTGAATGAGTTACACTATGATAACTTCAGTGCTTGTCAAATAGTGGGGAAGATGATAGATTTTCCATTTCTTAAGAATGCAGCTTTCACACTTTCAGTACATCCTTGCTGACTTTTTTTTTTAAAGGAGCAGTAATTTGCTTCCCATTTTAAGTTCAGTCATGGCGTCCTTCTCTAATGTTGACACTTTGGATATTAGACTATGGCTGCTTTTCATGCTTTTGCTTCCATTCTGCAGAGAAAAATAAAGATTCTGTTCCACTAAAAAAGGGGGTATGAAAAATACTGCCTTTTTAAAATGTACCCAACTGTTTCTGTTCAGGAAGATAGAACAAAACTGATACAGTTGTAACTGTCTGCATTGCCATTTCTCAGTCTTTCTGAGACAAACAGTAATAAACTATGTCTGGCTTTCTCAGTACTAATTTAATATTGAACTAGCAAGTCAATGGAAATGTATAGTGATAGAGACATGTGGTTCTAGGTCAGGGGTCTGCAACCTTAAGCACTCAAAGAGCCATTTGGAACCGTTTCCCACAGAAAAGAAAACACCGGGAGCCACAAAACCTGGGTGGGTGTGGCCAACTCAATGTCACTCACTTCCACCAGTCACATGACACGCCCCGAGCCACACCTACCCAGCAGGTCATTAGGGCAGAGAACCAGTTGTTAAAAAACACAGGGAACCACAAAACCCTTTTGACATTTCTCTCTCTCCCCTCCCTCTCTGTATCTTTCTCTCTATGCCCTGGCACTTCTCCATCCCCTGCCATCGCCCTTACCTTCTCCGGTCAGGCGAAGAGTGACTGGGAAGGGAGGATGAGGGGCGGGGCCAGCCAGTGGTGGGAATCACCCGACAGAGAGCCACAGCAGAGGGCCCAAAGAGCTACATGTGGCTCCAGAGCCACAGGCTGCTGACCCCTGTTCTAGGTTAGCAACAAATCGATGCACATTTCTGGTAGCTGCCCATAATCATTATGATATCATCTTCTTTTTGGAAATATTATTCACCAATATTGTTGTTAGCAACTTGTCTTGTTTTAGCTCAAGGGGACACCATTGTGTTTTTTACTCTATAATTTGTCCATTACAGGTTGCTTTCTAATTATAAATTAAGAAACATATGGTCATGTTTCACTTTTAGGAACGGTTTGTACTCATCAGACATGTGAAGGCATGGCAGACTTTTTAATTTTTATTTTATTCTTGTGGTGAAACATCTTCCGATGTGCACTAGCCATCAGATGGCAATTCCAGGAAGTTCTGATTCTTTGGAAAAGCTACTTTTTCTGAGATTATCCTCTTAAAGTTCTATTCATTAAACGATTTGGGATCCAATCTAGCTTTTTCCATAGAATTAAAAATTTTTGCTGACTCACTGATAATTTACAGTTTCATTGCTTTGTAAAATAAGTTTTGGCCAGCAAATCAAATGGGAGTCCCATTCCCATTTGGATCCATTTAGGCATCTCGGCAGGGATAAACACTGCTTCATTTGAATTTCAGTTAAAGATGATTGACTGAAACTCTGGAGCATGAATAAAGGAAATGGCTGAAGAAATGCTGCTACAAAGAAGTTCTATGAGAGTTCTTGGGAGGTTCAGTCGTGCCTTGGCCTGTTTCTCCGTTCAGTGCTGTCCTTTGCTTTTCCTTCCTGTGCATTCTAAGCTTGGTATCTTGGTGCACTGCTTAATACTGTATATGAAAGCTTGCAGTTGTTTTTGTATGCATCTGTGCATAACAGATGTCACTATCAGGCTGGAAGGACTTTAAAATAGCTCAGTAAAGAAGGGGATGAGGAATTGCCTTCCAGTGCAAGAATTAAGGCTGGCATATTTCTGTGTAGGGTGATCACTCCAGATTTTTCTCTCATCTTTGGCCTCTTGCTTTAAGGGAAGCTGCCTATCATTTTTGAATTTCGTTCTTTTGTCATACTGATCATTTTCTTCCTTTCCTTAACGTTTCCAATTATTTTCTTTCACTGTTTGAGCAAGCCTTTAACCTCCCAGCATACTTACCAGTGGTAGATTCAGGAATGCTGCCCACATCCTTTTGGAGGGAACCCCTTTCCTGCTGCCTAGTCCTGCAGAGCTCAAAGGATTAGCTGGCAAAGAAGAAACAAACACTTGACCATACCACTGTTAGTGACTTGGACCTTCAGATTATATGTATCCGAATCTGATCTATACAAAGGTATTTTATCCTGTTCCCTCATTGCCACTTCTTTCAATGGAAAGTGGTAGGCTTGACATTCATAACTACGGGTAGTCCTTGACTTACAACCATTTGTTAGTGACCATTCAAAGTTGCAACAGCACTGGAAAAAGTGACTTACGACCATTTTTCACGCTTATGACCGTTGCAGCATCCCCATGGACACATGATCAAAATTCAGACACTTGGCAACTGGTTCATATTTACGATGGTTGCAGTGTCCCAGGATCATTTGAACACCTTTTGCGACCTTCTGATAAGCAAAATCAATGAGAAAACCACATTCACTTAACAACAGTACTAAGTTAACGGTATTAACTTAACAACTAGTGATTCAGTTTACAACTGGGGCAAGAAATGTCATAAAATGGGGCAAAACTCATTTAACAACTGTCTCACGTAGCAACAGAAATTTTGGGATTCAATTGTGGTCGTAAGTCGAGGACTACCCGTACTCATTCATATAACAAAAAAGTGAAACACTTATTGGAGAGTGTGCCCAGTCCTGGAGGAAAGCAACTGTTTTCTTGGAACTGATGGGTGTTCTCTGTCCTTTAAAGGGGTTAATTCAGATACTGCTTGGCTGCTTGGAAACTGCTCTCTGTTTTGAGGGCTGTTGTATTTCTTTCAGTCAGATCGTCTGCACACACTTGAAAACAAACAACTGTGTTTCCAGGTCTGCTGCCCCAGAGTGGAACCTGTAACTGCCACTCCTAAAAAGAGTTAACTGAGCAAGTGTAGCAGTGGAGGAGCCACGAGAAGCTGATGATGCAAACGTGAGGGAAGAGTGGAAAAGAAGCAGAGAAGCCAAGGTGAGGAGAGAACAGGGAGATATAAATAACTTGGGTGCTTAGCTGGGGAGTGACTTTCTGTCTTGGTTTGTCCGGCCCTGGTACTGCTGGCATCGGCTCTCAGGGGGAAAGCTGCAGTTCTGCTGTTAAAACACAAGGAGCAGCCTGGAGAATTTTGAGCTGCGTCACACAGCTCAGAGGGAGAGAGTGAGAGCCAGCTCTGTCGATAGGTCTACTAGCAACAGCCTACTGCAGCAAGAGACAGAGAGAGAGAGATCATGCAAGAGAAGTAATAACAACATTGGGAAGCATGGTTCCTTTTCAATCCAGCATGCTTTTTTTTTTTTTAAAGGAACATTATTTGGGAACTTGTTGAAGATCAGTGGATTTTGTCCACTGATGGTACCGGAAAGATGCGACGCAATTAATCCCGCAAAGGTGGGGGAGGCAGATATAGGAAGGGTTAATGGGAGGAAAATTCTGGAATGTTCTGTGCTGCGGCAGAGCGAACAGAGGGTTGAGGACTGCACAGGTGTAGATGAACAGATCTCATGGTTCCTCTATTAAATACGTACGTATTTTTTTTTATCGGAGTTGTGGGGGAGTTGAACTGAGTGTCTCACTTTGTATGTATGTGCCTAGAGGTATCTTTCTGCCCTCCCATCCCTCAAACTTTTCATCCAGTATTATTTTCCTATGGCTAAATGTTGTTTCTGTGTCCTGCATCAGACCAATGGAATGAAGGCACAAGTTGTAAAATGTCAGTGCATAGCTAGCTATAATGCAGAGTCAAGAAACAAGGATGGGAAATAGAACAGTAGCTTTGCAGAGGATGCCATCTAATATCCCTTTCCCCAATTTCCTTATTAAATCAAGAAGTTGGCAGAGGGGTTTCTCAAAACACTCTGGCTCTTTAAGGCTGAGAATCTGTATCTGCAGAGTTAAGAAAGTGGCAAATAGACAAATGATGACGCAGGGATCTTTGCTTGGCATGTTGTTAGGTTTAGAAAGCATTGGTTGGGGGGGGGGGTGGAGAGGGGACAGGTACATTGTGAAGCCCCAGACCAGCTGACAGAGGGTGAGTTAAGAAGGGAAGATTGCATTTAAGAATTAAATGTCATCATTTTGGCGTCGGAAAGTTGTTTACCTTTCTCTCTGCGTGTCTCCATGTTGGCAGCCTTCCAGCTCACATGTGATAGTCTTCCCTGTACTGCTGCATCATTAACTGAGTGCCTGAGATTGCACATGATTGGCTGGGGAGGGCTTTCATTCTAAACACTGATTTCCATTGGAGGGAGAAGCAGTGGCAGGTGAAATGCTATCTGAGATTGGTTAGAGCCAGAATATCAAATCTAAATGTTCCATTCCAATTGCTTTAAAAGGGGTTCTGAACAGTTTGTGACTTAAAATGTTGGCTATTTGCTTTTATTCCCCACCCACTCCTCTCCTTTACAGCAAGCACTTTGGAATGTGTCTGTATTCTCAGAGCTAGTGTTTTAAAGAGAAAAGCAAAAAGCAGGAGCTTGTCTATTGTAGGTTACTTTAGTTTATTACTGGTGCAAGTGACGCAGAAGGAAAAACAAATATTCTGTGACTCGAGTTGCATCAGTGACAGGCATATTTCCGGCTGCTGTGAGACAAGCCACGATGACATGACATTATTATAGCCTTCAGAGGAGATAACAAAAAGAGACTTTAGTGGGTGTCTATCTTTGCCTTTGTGTGAAAAAACTCTTAACTAGACCAAGCTGTTTTCTTCTGTTATAAACTCTCTTGAGGACAGAGAGATTGCTTGTTAGAGGAGAATCTGTAAAACGCTGGACAGAGCTTAGAACAAAAACTGTGTCTTAGGTTACAACACTGTGAATCGAAAGTCAGTGCTGGATGAATATAGTGGTAAGAAATACAAAGTTTACTTTCTGGTTGTTTTATTTTGCTTTTAAATGAGATAGTTGTGAATTCTAAGATGGTAGGATAGTTGGGCAGTTGTGAGCTATAAACCAGTTCAGGTAGGGGCTGGAAACCTTTCATTTATGGTACATACCGTATCTAAGTAGACGTGGTTCTTTAACATTTCAGATCAACTATGTTTTCCCTTCCCAATTCCCTTTCCCTATCCCAAAGCCAATTCCAGATATAAAATTATTATGGAGGATGAAGTCTATGTTCTTTCTTTTTTCTTTTGGAATTTCAATGAAATTCTAAGCAATAAGCATTATCACAGAGCATGGGGGACTATTTCCTGTGGCACATTCTCATGAAGTGTTCCAGTAAACTGAAGGATTTAACAATAATATAAGAATCTGTGTGGGTGACTCACTGGCATTGAGAGAGTCAAGTATAGCCGGTTGTTCAGCAGTAGTTTCTGGCTTTGGAACCAGATCAGATAACATTTTGATTCGCCATCTTGATTCTTCTAAAGTACTCCTGTCTTCTCAAGTATTGTTTCAAGATTTTATTGCTTGCAGGCTTTAATAGTCCCAGGAAGAATGAACAAGCATAGTCTGCTATTCAGAAGGAAGGAGACATAACCAGGAAGCCATATCTGGAAATGGACATGATACGTGAAAGGAGAAGAAGGATAGATGTGACAGATACCTACCTCCTCTGATACATTCTCAAGCATAACTTCGTTTTTATTGTCTCTTCTCCGTTGTCAAGCTTTCTGCCTAATTTGAAATTCTTCCATTGGAAGTGTACCACCTTCGTTTCTCCTTCTCCCCACTGAGAGTCCTTGCTCTGCAAAGCTTTCTCCTCCAGAGGCAGTCTTGCATCCTGCGGTGCTAATTCTGCAGAGGAGGGCAATCAAAGATCCATCTGTGATGGGATACACTCAGGCTGAGATTTTGCTTCTTCTGTCACGAACAAAAAAAGTGAGTAGGTTTGAAAAAAGTTGGGTTACTTTCATTTTGACCGACGCCATCTAAACAAACATAACTTGCGTTTTTTAGATACAGCCACTAGGGATTGTATATTGGTACGGGGGCGTTCATTTGCTTTTTCTTGTCACATGATGCTCGATAATGGCATACCTTAAATATTTTTAGAGTGAGTTGGATTTGTACAAGAAGAAGATTAATAGTACATACTTTTTCATGATTCCCCCAAATAAGTGCATTTTCTCACCCAAGCGTTGAAGGTTGAGATTATTTATGTGTATGTCAATTTATTTTTATAAATCTGAATGCAGTTCTTAGTCATTGCTGCTTTAATAAGTAATTGCTCACATAAAGATACTTCAACATATGAAAAGTAAAGCTGTAGTGAGTGAAAAGGCATCATTTTTGCTCTACTGTTGTGGAAAGATTTGACAGTTCGTCTCTTATGTCTCAGGTTAACGATAGAAGTGAACCACAGGTTTGTACAGAACTTGTCTGCAGGTGGTTTTGAGACTTCTGGTGCTACCCTGAAGCCAGAGGATTTGGCATTAGTACCTTGCTCAGCTTTGTGACCTTGGGCTAATTTGCCCGTTTCTGCTTTTCTTTGTCATCCGCAAAGTGGGCATAATAAGATGTGCGTCACAGGAATGTTGAGACTTCTGCTTGTTTTTTTTAAGAACCATGAAGTGTTTCCTGAAATGAAAGGGCTTCCTTATAAAATGGGGTTGTTCTTTTATATTAGGATTACATAGTATGGATGAAATTTACCAAGGCCATGCAATAAACATAATGTGTATCCCTAGCTACTGCTATTTTTATTTTTTTATTGGCACAATTTTGGCAAACAGATGGACCCAATTCTTAACTCTACATTTTTTCTAGTGATTGTTTGTGACGCATCTAAGTTTGAATCTACTATTTCTTTAACAAGCTAAATAATATTAACAAAACATAGTTGTGGGGAGGGAGGGAGGGAGCCTATCTTTAAAATCATATCAAAACTTGTGTTCTTAATCAGAAATGTTTTGGTATTAGCATGTATTACTTTCACGCATTCTAACAGCAGGAGAATATATAGTTTAATGATGACTCCTGTCCATTTTGTTGCTGGCGAAATATATTCAGAGCCGATGGTACTATTGCTATTAATTTCTGTCTCGTACAAAAAACAGTCTTCAATTTGTATCCAGAAGATACTTGCTGTTGCTGGGAGCAGAATAATTTTCTTGAGGTATTTTTCTCTCCTGGATTTTCTATATTTTTTAAAAAAATTAAATAGTTCATAAAATAGTATTTTATTATAAACTTGATAGCTCACTTTGATTTCCCTCACCCTGTTCCAACCAGAATACAGACTTAAAATATAGTCACATTTTGCATTTTCTCATCTTGTACCAGGTAGTCATTTGTATTGATTTGGGTGTGGTAACTCTGTCTACCATTTTCTTCCACAATTTAAAAAAAATAAGAATTTGAGGAACATACTATTTCCTCAACATTTGCATTTATAGTTGGGAGGAAATATTTCCTATAGTAGCAAATATGAAGCTTAAGTTTTTGCAAGGAAGACAGAATAGAGGATTGTGGCTTCCTCTACTCCATCCCCACAACTAGATTTTTTAATATTTATGTTTAAATTAAACATTTTACTGCGCCTTTACAAAAGCACATTTTTAGAAGATTTTTGTGTTTCAGAATTGCTTGAAGAAGAGAAACGATGCAATGTAGCTTTCTTGGTAGCCATTTTGCTGCATCACCATCTTGCAAAATCCTGAATTATATTTACTTGTCGTTCCGGGGCATAATGCCCAAGACCAAATTGTTGACTCGATTATTCGTCTTTTGTCTGTAATAGACTGAACATAAATACCAATTCAATAGTCTATGCATAAATATAAATTAAATAATCTATGAAGTTCTAAGTTATAGCCAGAATTAAAGTTATTTTGGGGTATTTTTGTTACCAAATTCTGCTTTCTCGTAATGTAAGATTTCCGTTCATCGTTTATCTATCTGTATTTATAATCTTACTTTCTTCTTCAATACTCTACATTCATTTGCTGGCGAGATCAGTAAATTATTCTCCAGATGTAAATATTCTCATTGAAATTATATATTCGTATCACATTAAAACATCCAGCTTAATATTGATTAGTGTACAGTCATGAAGCCAAGATGGTGGGTAGCTCCGGAGTTGTTAGCACTCTGAATGAGCAATAATCTAGCAGGAAAGCAAGATTTTATAGAATACGTTCCTTAATTTAGAATACACATAGGAAAAAATACTGCTTTTTTAAAAAAGGAAAAATATTGGTAAGGAATAGAAAGTTGTCACATTGATCCAAACCTGCAGATTGGGTCAATTTGTATATCTGTCACTGTTCAATGTTATGTATCTCCTGCCTTAGTCTGTGACTGCTTTTGTCATATATGGTGGTGTGTATTAACTTGAATTTTGGGTTGAATTCTCATATTCTCCAAAGAAGTAGGCAGGTTCCTTACTTTGGGAGACTTTATTTTCCATTCTGTTAGCTGCTATAAAATATTCTTTATGGCCTTTAGAAATCAAAGAGCCCAGATTTCTTCCTTCTGTCGTTTGTTTATGGTTATTGATTGCAAACTTTTCTTTATACTCCTCAGGTATATGTTAAAAATTGATCTTGCAGTGCATTTATAGGTAAACATCTCTAATCTGAATATTAATTTTTTTTTAGAAAAGTGTCAGGCGACATTAGTCTTTTACATTTGAATTAAAAAACAAGCATATAAATTACAATAGTTCTTTGCTTCTGCCTCAGATAGGCATTAAATTAATATAATATTAAATTAAAATATTACTTAAATTATTTGGGCTTTTCTTGTTTAGTCATATTGGATTACTGCTAGATTTTAATAAAAAATGAATTAAACTTCACTCTGGTTCTAAGAGATAAAAATAATATATATACTTTACAGATGCTCAAATGTCCATTCATTTGTTTTGAAAGGATTTATCCATTATATATATCAGGGGTTTCAAAATCGTGGCATCCCATGATGTATCGTGACTTTCCCCCCTTTTGTTAAAATGGGTGGGCGTGGCCAGTGCATGACGCATCTGGCCCATTGGGCCATGAGTTTGATACCCCTAATATATATGGTTCTGACTCCAGTCCAGATGTCCATAAACTCTGTTTTCAACTACATGACATGGACTTTCATCCGTAAATTACCCTTTCTGCCTTGAAGTAAAATTTGTGTTCTAAAACAGAAATCTTATTATTTTATTTGGCAAAGGGTAACTCCAGAATGCAGCTGCGCGGGGGATTATGGGAGCAACAGGGCACTCCCATGTGACACCTCTCCTGCGCGAGCTGCACTGGCTCCCGATCGTCTTCCGGGTGCGCTTCAAGGTGTTGGTGACCACCTTTAAAGCGCTCTATGGCTTAGGGCCTGGATATTTACGAGACCGCCTTCTGCCACCAATTGCCTCCCACTGGCCAGTACGCTCGCACAGAGAGGGCCTCCTCAGGGTGCCATTGGCCAGACAATGTCGGCTGGCGACCACCAGGGGAAGAGCCTTCTTTGTGGCGGCACCCGCCCTCTGGAACGACCTACCCCCAGAGTTACTCACGATATCAGACCTCTGGACTTTTCATCGGGCCCTTAAAACTCACTTATTTCATCTAGCCGGGCTGGCTTGATCCCATCCTTTAGTTTTAATTTGAAATTAATTTTAACTGGGTTATTTTAAATTGTGGGCCGACATTATTTAATATCTTTTAAACTGTTTTAATTTTTGTATGTTGTGTTTTTACTTTGGCTGTCCACCGCCCTGAGTCCTGCTGGAGAAGGGCGGTATAAAAATCAAATAAAATAAACAAAAAATAAATAAATAAACTCTATAAAATGCTGTTGATATTGTGGATAGGTTGATTGCAAAATACTCATTGGGGAGCTGAAACAAAAACCCATATAGTTCAATTAATTTATAAATCAAACCAGTATATTTTGGCTGGGATCCAAAGACTTAGTTCTTTATGCTCAAGTTACTTTTGTCTAATGATTTATCCCCATGGTATTCTTTCGTAGCTTTCAAAAATCAGTTTATTGCAATTTGAAATTGTTGCGCCTATGTCTAAACAAAATTTTATAGGATGCTGCATTATCTATGTGTATATGCAACACAGAATTTTTTTTTACATAGGATTGTGAACAGACCTATATTAAGATCATGCAGTAAACCCAAAATTTCATTTTTCCCCCCTCCAGGAATGTATTGCCATTTTCATGAGACATGGATTCTCTGCTGACTTTGCTCATAAGTTTTGTTGTTTAATTTCATAGACAGGTTCCTGTGAGCCTCATAGAATATGTTCCTGTGAGCCTTACTAGAAGCTCAAAGGACTGAAAGGCCTATAAATATGGCAGATGACTGTTTATTATTGTATTTTTATAAATCTATGAAAATTACAACTTCTTATATTTTGATGCAAAATTATTCTCGAACTGAAATTAACTTTATAAATCAAACATAAATTTAATATACCAAACTTGATTACTTTATGAGCAAACCAATTATACAAAAAAGTGTTCTAAAGTAATTTAGTATGTTGTAAAGATTGTTAAAATCAGTTTGGTTAACTTTTCAAACTAAAAATAAAACTTTTTGCATCTTCCTTTCAATTTTTTTGGAAACATTTGCAGGTCTACTCAAGAATTAGCATCTTCAGTGGTCTAAAACGTAGCAGAACAAGTTGATGATCCACAGGATTTCCTAGATTTTCTCCTTCCCACTGTTGCTCTGTCCAAAAGAGCAAGGAAAAGAAGTAGCAGCCTTCATCTGATGTGAACTAAACAAAGAGGCAGTTGAATGGACAGTCATAATTGTGGTTGCCAGTGTTAATTTTAATTCTGCATTAGCTCTAACTGTGATTAGTAGTAAGGCTTATATTTCACCAAATTTTGAATTACTATTTAAAGCAATTTATAAGAGTTATAAAGGATACTCAATAATTATAATTATTTAAACTTTTATAAATAAATCAATGAGATATCAGGACCTCTCCTTCCCTTTCAAGATGTAAACTATTCTGTACTTAAACAGTGTTGTATAACATTCTGTAGTCTGAGACAATATGTTTAGGAATTGAAATGTGAGAATTCTCACTACTATTCCTTTTCTCACAAATGATGATTACACTAAAATCATTGTCAGGTATTTTGGGGGGGTATGAGGAGAGACCTTTCAAATTTTCAAACTAATATAGTTTTGCATACCTGAGTAGACTCAGTAAATAAGCCAAAATTATTGTTTTGTCTCTGTATACCCCAATTTCACTAGTACTTTGAAAGTTATTATACCAATAATAATAATAATAATAATAATAATATAATAATTTTATTTCTATACCGCCCTTCTCCCGAAGGATTCAGGGGGGTGTACAGCCTATTTAAAAACACAGGATAAAACAACGATTAAAAATTTAAAATGATTAAATAGATTTGGCTCAATTTAAAACCCCAGAAATTTAAAATACCCCAATTTAAAATTATTATATTGATAGCCCGGCCTGGCGGAACAACAGGGTCTTCAGTGCGCAGCGAAACACCCAGAGGTCAGAGATCTTACGTATTTCCGGGGGCAGTTCATTCCACAGGGCTGGGGCTCCCACAGAGAAATCCCTCCCCCAGGGTGTCGCCAGCCGACATAACTTGGCCAATGGCACCCTGAGGAGACCCTCTCTGTGGGAGCGGACTGGCCGGTGGGAGGCTATTGGTGGCAGAAGACGGTCTCGAAGGTACCCGGGTCCTATGCCATGGAGCACTTTAAGGGTGGTAACCAACACCTTGAATCGCACCCGGAAGACCACTGGGAGCCAGTGCAGCTCGCGCAGAAGGGGTGTCACGTGGGCACAACGAGTTGCGCGCATAACCACCCGCGTGGCTGCATTCTGGACCAGTTGGAGCTTCCGAGTGCTCTTCAAGGGGAGCCCCATGTAGAGAGCATTACAATAGTCCAACCGGGAGGTAACAAGGGCGTGAGTGACCGTGCACAGGGCGTCCCGGTCCAGAAAGGCCTGCAACTGCCGAATCAGGCAAACCTGATAAAAGGCCCCCCTGGCCACGGCCATCATATGCTCTTCTAAAGACAGCCGTGCGTCCAGGAGGACACCCAGATTGCGAGCCCTCTCTGTGGGGGGCAAAGATTCACCCCCAGTAGTCAGTGATGGCACCTGCTGACTATATCGGGGCGCCGGAAGCCACAGCCACTCGGTCTTGGAGGAGTTGAGTCATTAAGTTCATATTAGGCAAAACTTCTGTTCCTGGAATATTTTTACCACATATCAATCATAGCTTATACCAGAACAATTATTAATGAACATTAGTTTTGAAGCTTAACAGTTTTGTAGTTTTTTCCTTCCAAAAACTACAGGCAGTTCTTGACTTACTATCACAATTAGGACTGGAATTCCCATCATAAGTCATTATGGCTATAAGTTGAGTTAGGCCTTATTTACAACAATCTTTAAGGAGGTTGTTAGTCAGATTACCCAGCTGTTAAACTAGCTTCCTCTGTGGACTCTTTTGCTGTCTTTTTTTTTTTTTTTTGCGGAAATCGTTTTTTTCGAAACGATTCGCAATTTTTTGCAAAAATGGTTACAAATCAGAATCATAAGATCACAGGATGCTGCAACCAATCATAGATCAATAGCAATGGCACTTAGCAGTTTACTGAGTCAGCATATTGCCCCCAACAATCTGGGTCCTCATTTTACCGACCTTGGAAGGATGGAAGGCTGAGTTAACCTTGAGCCCCTGAGGATTGAATTCCTGGCAATAAGTAGAATTAGCCTGCAGTACTGCATTCTAACCACTACACCACCATGGCTCTAAATCAATTGCAATTCAGTTGCTGCCAAGCATCTGAATTGCAATCACAAGATTGTGGTGATGATGTTCATAAATGTGACTACAGGTCATAAGTCACTTTTTCCAAGGCTGTTGTAACTTTGAACTGTCTTTAAAGGTCATAAATTGAGAATTACCTGTACCATTTCTTACTGTGGTTCTTACAAGCAAAGAAAATATTACAAAATGCATCAAGACTTCCCCCCCCCCCCCTCAAAAAAGTCTTGTGCACTGCAGCAGTTTTCTACCAATACTGCCCAAATTTGATAGCTATCCTCCAGGATGTAGCAGATAGTGCTGACTAACTTGGCATCTCTTAAGGAAAGATCTATGGGTAAAGTGGCAATACAAAACATCCATCTTGCAACATTCACCCTTGCAATAGTTAAAATTAGCTAGAGAGTAGTTGAGAATGTTTGTAAATCCCATTCCTATTCTGGTGCCATATTTCAAAGAACCTTGGCCCTTTGGGGGAAAAAAAGAGATTTTTAAAAGCTTTCAAGACTTTACAAATAAAAGTATCAATTAATTTGAAATTTGGTTCTAATTTGCGGATTGTAAAAAATATTTTAAATGTTATTCTTTTGGTTCCAGGTTCCAAGTAATTTCCTTTTTCCTTCCTTTTTTTCAGCAATATCTTGAATCAGGTGCCAAAACAGGCTATGGAGTCTGAAGACAATGTCTGATAGCTGCCATCACATCACTTCTGCTGTAAAATAAGATTTGCTAGTCTTTAATGCCATCAAAAACAGATGTGGTAAGGTACATGAATATGCAGAAGTTTATCTTTTTAAAATGATTATATCATGCTGTTTAAGAACAGGTTTCCAATTCTTACTGACTGATTAAGTTTTATAGCTGAAAAAGTTAAAATAAAATGAACCATCATAATCTGTTGAGACTATGTTAATTTGTTTATATCTGTTAGCCCAGTTATCTGCTGATGCCTCATATTCTTCCTTCAAACCACATTGTTGAAATACCCTTGACAGGATTTATTATTCAAGAAAAACTGCTTTTAAAATCTTGTAAATCTTCAAATTGAAAACAAAATGTAAAGTCATTCAGACCTTTCAGTCTGTCTCCATGGCCTTAGAAGTTTCTAGTTTAGAGCTGTACAACTTTTTTTCATACTGAAGCTGTGTGCCTTTGAGTAACCACTCTGGAGCCATGTTCTAAAAAGTGGATAGAGTTGAAATAAAGACAATTCAAGGGCAATGAAATCAGTACAATTTCATTTAAATGTAACTTTAATTAATTATTTTCATATAATTAAGGCCAGTTATTTAATGATTTTTCCATTGGTGACTGAAACTATAGAGTATGATAACAATTTGAGAAGTATTTGAATGTTGCCTTCAAATCTCTTTAGAAACATCTGTATCCCTGGGGCCATAATGCACTTTTACTATAAAACCTTTATTCCTGTGATGCCCAATTCCTGTTGTGTGCAACAAGTATTATGTTTATGCTATCTATGAAGCAACTTTTTTTTAAAAAAAAACTTTCAGATAGCTGTGCCATTTTTAAGGTCCTGTGGCTACTTCATAAACTGCTTCCTGGTCTTGTTAATTTCCACTATTTAATACTAGTGCTACTGTTATGAATTAGGCAAGTGAATTTTAATCATAAGTCAAAGAAAATCCTTACAATGATTATTACAAAGTAATTGCTTTTTAACTCTTCCAGATTCCAGATTCCATCCATACTTTCCTCCAATAGTATTTTGCGATTTGTTTTTAAAGTAGAACTCTTCCATTGAACTAAACATACATGAGCCTCAATTTCAACATCCAATCTATACTTAGCTTTTTGGTAAAAATCAAGTGGAGTATCTATGCCCTTAGTTTCTCAGTTCTCAGTTTACTATTGCCAGGTTTCTACTTTACTTTAGAATATGAATACTTCTAGACCATAGAAGCTTTGGTTTTCATATATGAAAATGGCACGTGCCATTTCTCACTAGTGTATCTTATCTTTATCATATGCTTAAAAAACGGGATGCATTTTAAAACAAACAGGCATGTGATAAAACTAAATAGAAGCTAAATTGGCTTTGAAAGAACGCAGCTTGAAACAGATAACTATTTGATGTACAGAAAATGGTTGCTAGGTATAACTGTCAATAGCTGTGAATATAATGAGTTATGAATATCTCCATGGAAGAGGAGGATGAGGGGGCAGAAGCAGAGGACTCCTCAACAGAACAAAATGATTAGGAACACAGAAAAGAGCTGTGCCAAGTTCCACGGTTCAATTTAACTGTTTATTTTACCCCTTTTTATTTGTGTGAATAATTCTGTTGGAGAACAGTAAAAATGAACTTTTCTAGAGAACCAAGAATTCTGTATTATAGGCCTTGTAACACAATCCTATTCTGAAATAAATTCCATTGTGTTTAATGGATTTTATGTGGGAGCGTGTATTGAACTGCCTTAACAATTCTTACAACATGTAATAAATTAGATGTATATTATTGAAGCTATGCTGCTGTTATGCTGTATAAGGTAAAAAAAAAATCAGGGATGCAGTAGACCTCTTGCATTGCAGAGTCTAGGGTAGCAAGATTTCAAATATAACTTGCATATTGTTTAAATACCAGGTTTGGTATTATTTTATTTTTATTTAATCAATTTATTTTACCATATTTCATATTTTTAGTGTTACAATAGTCAAAAATCTAAATTTTCTTCTTTGTATTGCTTCAGGGTTTGTGAAACACTTTACTAAAAGTAGACCAGAGATTAGAAATCAGGTCCTTATATAAATATATATTTTTTATGTTTTAAATTCACTTTGCAGAAGTCATCAGTAATAGACTCAACAGTATATAAATTAGATTGCTCTCTTCAAGAAGTAATCAAATATACAAGTAGTCCTTGGTTTAACAACACCAAATGGGACTAGAATTGTCATCACTAACAACATATTGTAGTTGTAAAGCTTGATGTCATGTGACTACACGTAGAAATGGCAGTTTCAGCAAGCATGGTTGCCGTTATTAAGTAAGAATATCACATGGTTGCCAGACCACTTCCTGATGGTTTTCCCATTGACTTTGGTTGTCGGAAGTCAGCAAAGAAAATCACAAATGGTGACCATGTGATGGCAGGTTGTTGCAACATCATAATCGCAAGCCAAGTGTAGGGCACATGTGACAGACATGTGATCACGTCTACATGGACTTTGCAGTAGCTAGAACTCTTTTAAGTTTCTATCATAGTGCCACTCATTCAGCACCTCACAAGCTTGAACAGTTGCTGAAAATGTGGTAGAGAGGATCTGGAGCCAGGTAAGAAAGAAAAACGGGCCTCCTCCCCCCCCGGCACTCCGGAGGCAGGAAACAGCCTGTTTCCCTACTTCTGGTGGGCCCAGAAGGCCCAAAAATCAGCTGGCCAGTGCATGCATGCGCCCCAGAGCTGAGCTGGCGTGTCCACTGATATGGCTACGCATGTCACCTGTGGCACGCATGCCATAGGTTTGCCATCACAGCTCTAGACTCAGGCCTCTTTTACTTTACAGTTGTCTTGATAGCAGTAGCTCTTCTTCCTGTCCTTCAAGACAATTTCTTCTGTTCACTGCATCATTCATTTTCTTTGCTTAGTGGGCTACAATGTGTACTGTGGCTTAATTTCATAGAGGTTCAAATGAATGTATCATATACTTAGTTCGATACAGCTTCCATTCCAATATATATATATTAGAAGCATAACATTGATTTTCAACTCAAGTGAGTTACAGATTACCTTTTATATTGTTAATATCCTATATTAATTTCAAAGCAAATTACAAATTGTTTCCCTGATACACTAGAAAATACCTAGTACAGTCAACATTGGTTATACTTAAAATAAATGTTACATTTTCTTATCCCAATCTTAATTTGAAGCAAATTTGGGCAGCCTCTTCTTCTGATCTGGCAGGAAAAAAAAATAATTTCAGGCAAACGTAATCAGAAGTTTGATAGAATGTGCTTGGATCTAAGTTATTTATGCAATATATGGGTATTTGAAATTTTTATTTTATTTATTTATTAAATTTATATGCTATCCAAAGCGATTTGGAACAGCTAGCAATATTATTTTATTAGTAATTATTCAATCAGATGTCTGTTATTTTGCAAAGAACTGCAAATAATTCTTTACTGTGAATAATTATTGACTCAAAGATTACATTCAGTAATCTAAAATTGTTTGGGTTTGCTGCACTCTTGATTCTGCATAGATTGTCTTTGGTGGACACTTACTTGTTTTCTGGGACCATAGTAAGATACATATTTGGGGTTGTCTTTTCTTCCCATTATATAAATTAACCAATACATATTTGCATACTCAAGAGCTTATAGTTCTTGGTGATGCTAGTCTAGAATTGTTTAATTGGGTTCCCACTCCATTACTTCTCCTGAATCTCAGATTGGCTGCTTCAGGGAAGTGCAAAACCAATATAGAAACTAAAACGGAGTCAAATAGTTCATATATGAACAGTGGTTCCATTGTTTAGGGATTCAGTTTTAGCTTGTTTGATCCATCCAACTTCTCAAAAACAGGAAAGGCTCCTCTGCATCTCCAGTAAGGCTTATAAGGAAATTTACTGGGTTATTATCAGCATATTGATATAATACCTTAAATTAATGGATAACCTCTTTCAATGGTTTTACCTTCAGTTTAAATAAAATGAGATTGCTGAGTCCTGTGGTATCCCAGCAGTCATGGATGCATCAGTTCACAACTTCATAACTTCCATCCTGAACTTCAGAAAGGAAAGGAGCCATCATGTTTGCCACCCCCAACCCTTACAGTAGTCCATTGTAGATGTCTGAATGCCACTGAGTTGTCTAAGATCAGGAAGGGTGAACTCCCTCCATCCAGTTCCTCCTAGCTCCTAGGAGCTCCTAGCTCCTCCTAGGTTTTTCCCCTAGGTTTCCAGCCAATGGCCTGACAGAATTCTAGATTTAAAAGATCTAGGGTTGTCTGCAGTTGACATCCTTCCAGTTTCCGCAAAATATCCCCAGAAAGGAGAGATTAGAGTCTGGGCAGAAATTGCCTAATAAGGTTTATTTAGAAATGGTTCTTCAGAAGTAAGCACATCTTCAAGGCAGCTGCTACCTCTCCCAAAAAGGTATTAATCATCTCTCAAGTCTATCTAAACACATGCCAGAGATCACCCACACTGCCTAAAGGAGCTAGGTAAGGCATGGATCCAACCAATGAGTGGGAGAGTTGGGTTTTGTTTTGTAACATCTTGCTTTTTATTAGGGGTGGTCTAGAGCAGGGATCCCCAACCCCCACGCTGTGGCCCAGTACTGGGCCACGGCCTATTTAGAACCAGGCCGCGAGTGGCGAGCCAACAAGCATGTATGCAGCTCAACACTGGCCTGCCGCTTGTGTGGCCTGGTTCCTCTCCCCCCTCCTCCCCACTTTCTGGGCTCTCAACCCACAAAGATTGGGGACCGCTGATCTAGAATGTGTTATTGTCATGATAGCTGTTAGTTGCTTTGCTGATTAATAATGTGTTTTCAGTTGATGATGACAACCCCCGCATGCATCCTCCCCCGGGCATGCGCGGCAGAGACCCGAAGACCAGCTTACTGGCAGGAGGCATGTACACATGCACAGCGGACCTGAACTGGGGCATTGGCTCGCGTGCCACCTTGCCATAGATTTGCCATCACAGATCTATTGTAACAGTAGTTTGGTTCCCTTTGACTTGAAAGTGCTGTTGGTTAATAATAGGTAAATAACCATTCAGAACTTCATCACAGATAAACAGATCATATGTTTACTACATATTAAGTACGTTCCATTTGATAAAGTAGATGAGATGACTACCAAATTTCAAAACATCAAATGGGGAGATGGGTCTGATTGTCATGAAGTTCTGAATAGATGTAAATTGTTAATACTGGATTTACAGAAAAGGGTTAATTTTTTGTCAGTATAATTAAACTAATCAAGTTAATATCTAGGTTGAGTCCAGCCAAGGGGTCCCTGCTGTAGTTGCAATTCCCCTATGGCTGTTAAATACCTGTCTTTCTCAGTTTGTGAAGATGGATGTAATGATTTGTGATGATGGAGAGAGTTTAAAATTGCTATCTGATATTGTTTAAATTTATTGGAGGTGGAAAGCTAATTTCCCCAGGTATTTATCCTATCAGAATTATCTCTTTTGAAAAATCTTACCAACACTATGTTTATTTGCAGTCTGGATCAAGCCAAGAGGTAGTCAAAAAGCAATTGAGTAATCTAAACCAATAAATAATCCAGATTAAATTCTGAGGGATGCCACGAGAAACAAGGTCAAGTTGAAAGCCCAAGGACTTAGTGAGTCAAGGCACGGGATGCAAGATGCTTGATCATAAAGTACAAAATGTACAGATTTTGTTTCTATAACACCTTTGCTCTTGAACAGAGGCTTTTATGTAGGAAGAGGATAATCTAAAGTCACTAATTTATTAACTGCTAATGGAGTTTAAGTCTCCAAGGGAACAGTCACTAACTCTCAAGGCAGTTGTAATTTCCAAGAAACTTCTGCTTGGACTTTGGTATTCTTGCTATATTCTCTGTCTCCAATCTTTAACAACAATTTGCCTCGATTTTTCAGGTAAAAACGAACTCATTGATTCAATATCCTCTCTACTAAGGACTCAATTCAAAGGTTCAGGTATACATAGTTACATTTCAATTGGAATATCTGTTACATGAGATTATTCCTGAATTTTTATTTTATTTTACTTGTGTTGCTATTATTTGCTTTTGTAATGCTATATAAACTATAAGTCAGGGTAGATTTCTGATAACTTCATAGATACAACTGTGCAGTTTTCTTTGAAGTGTTTGCCATTGTCTTCTGGGATATGTTTCAAATTATGCTGGTCTGTGCTAGTCTTGTGACTTGATTTGATTTGAGGGATCCTCGGTGCTCTCTGAACTTGCTTGTTTTCTTGTAGACGTTTCATTATAAAACTAGGTAACACCATCAGTACAACAACGAAGTAAGCAATACCCCAATCAAGAAATTGCCAAAGAAGCCAACAGTAAACAGCCCAACCAAAGAATTTCTAAGATCACCCCCACCAACACTGACAGTGTAAGCCATTAAAATATAAACTGACAGCAAACCGCATGCCTTACTAGCACTGATGATGTTACTTAGTTTGAATGACACATCTGCAAGAAAACAAGCAAGCTCAGAGAGTACCAAGAACCTCTCATTTCAACCCTGAGCTACGAATATCCTCCTTTATTGATTTGACTTGTTTTTCAAATTCCCAGGTTAGTTTACGGTCTTGGTATTCCCAGATGTCTTCCATCCCAATACGAACCAATCTACTAAGTATTACTCCTATCCCAGTATTAAGCTTTCCAGAGTTACCCTGTGGTAAGATGGGCAACCAATTAGAGATAGATGGATCTGTGGGTTGGTGGATAGATAGATCATTGATTGATTGATTGATTGATTGATTGATTGATTGATTGAGATAGACAGACAGACAGACACAGACAAATCCGAGCTAAATTGTTCAGATCTTCTCAGCCCTCCTCTGCTCACGAACACTTCTGACCATGACCAAATTGGGTTCCGACCAAAAAATTCCCTTTTTTTTTTCATGGCCGATTTCCCCTTCTGCAGCATTTTTTTTGTAAGTGCCAAATTTTCAAAATTAGTTTCGAGTCATGACCAAATCGGTTTGTGACCAAAGTTATGGAACGAATTATGGTAGTGACCAGAGACCAGACTTTTTCCCAACCCAGTTTACTTACTTCAAGGATATTCTATAATACAATAAATTCAGTTACCAGTATATCATTCCACACTTGCATCCTTTTCTGCTTTCTTCTCCAATTTATCTGTAATCACTGTTAAACCTTTAGTGCATGCTAAACCTTTCTTTAGGGTTATATTTTAGAATGGGACTTTCTCATTAAGCTATTTATTATAAGTTTTTTCTGCTTCTCTAAGTATACTAATTCTTGTAACACATTTCTTATTAATCTAATTTAGATTAATTCGTTTACAGAGATGGCTATCACAACCTAGAGCTCCATCTTTTGTATTACTATGGTCTGCATCCTCATACTTGAAAGTCCCAGGAGAAGAACATGCATCTGAATGTATTCTCTTCTAATTGGAGCCAGGGACTACAATGGCTTTCTACTACAGGTAGTCCTCGACTTACAACCGTTCTCTCACTAACCACTTGAAGTTATGATAGACCACACTATGGGTACTTATAACACAGTTTTGAAGTTCCAGGGCCCTTCCATTATGTGACCACAGAATGGCCTGCACTTGCAGGCGTTTGCAGCATCCCATGTTTCCATGACCATGTTTTATAACAGTTTTGCACAAAAACAGCTTTTACTTCTAATTTTTGATAAAATTCCCCTTAGCAAGCCATTATTTTGCTTAACAGCCATTACAAAAAAGGTCATAAAATTGGGTACTTACTACTCAAGGGATACAGACTGTAATAGGTCCATATTTTTTCAAATGAGACATTTTGCTTCTTAGATGGCAAAAATTCAGCACTGCCTTACACATGTGAATGTATGTAAATCATTATCCATAATCATCTAGATGATTATTCAGAAAATAATTGTCAGCGTTCCAGTGCTGACATGAAAGGAAGGAGAAGCTTGAACTTTTGCCTACTTAATTCCTTTGAAGATTCTGTTTCCTCGGAGATGGGAGGAGGGGGGACATTCCTGTGATCTGACGGAGATGGGATGAGGAGAGTGGATTGGAAGATAGCCAGTGAGATGCAGAGAATTGGGGATCGGAAAGGGAGGGCTTGGGGGGCAAAGGTCAGTGCTGATCGCGAAAGAGCCAGGGACAGATCACTATGCTCAATAAAGAGAAAATTTCCTCAAAGATCAGCAGTTTGGAAATTCATTTATTTTGAGATAGCATCGAAACCTGACAATAATACATATTTATAATTCTATGATATATTCTAATTGTATTGGCATATATAATGGCAGATATATCAGAAAGGTCTAAAGTGCTATAAGGCCAGTGTTTTAATTTTGCAGAAAGTAGAAAAGCAGTAGTCCCAAAGGTACTTTTTCAAGAGGCAACCTGACTTTCTTGTTTTTCTTTGAAAACGTTTCGCTTCTGATCTAAGAAGCTTCTTCAACTGTTCAGAAGCTTCTAGGATGAAGAGCAAAATGTCCCCAAAGAAAAACTTGAAAGTCCAGTTGCCTCTAGAAAAAGCACCTTTGGGACAACCATGACCTGGATGACTGAGAATCTTTTTTTTTTTAAGTTTTTTATTTTTTAGACAAACAAATATTTAATACATCAGTTTTCTCTTCCCTGTGCCATCTCGGTGTTATCTTCCAAAGTTCTTTCTTTTTCTGTATAGTTGTCATTACTTCTATCTTGATCCTTATCTAGTCCACAATATCAATTCATGACTAACATAATATTCAACTCATCACATATTTTTACATACTTATATAATTAATCATTTATATCTCTTCTCCAACCAATAATAAAAAATCATTCCATATTTTAAAATATTCTGAGTCTTTTCTATCTTTAATCATCAGAGTTAATCTATTCATTTCTGCACAATCTAAGATTTTTATAATTACTACTTCCAAAGGTATTTTCTCCGCTTTCCAATTTTGTGCATAGACAATCCTTGAGCTGTTATTACATGTATTATCAGATAAACTTTTTCCTTCCTAGTTTTTTCAGGTAGGATACCAGTAGGAACAGCTCTGGTTTAAATTCGATATGTTGTATCATTTCCTCCAACTAAGTCTTAAATTTAATCCAATAGTTTTTAGCTTCCGGACATGTCCACCACATATGATAATACAATCCTGGTAGTTCATGACACTTCCAACATTTAGCTGATTTTTCTTTAAACATTTTTGCTAATTTCTCAGGTGACATATGCCATCTATAAAACATTTTATATTGATTTTCCTTATATGCAGTGGACACCGTTAATTTATAATTCCTTTCCCGTAGTTGTTGCCATTTTTCCAAATCAATTGAATATCCAAAGTTGTTTCCCCAAGCTATCATTGTTTCTTTTACTTTCTCCTCCTCTAATTCAATACTAAGCAAAAGAATTGTAACAATTTTTTATTAAATTATCATCTGTTCCATGAGTATCCTATCCAACTCAGTCCTTTCCATATAAAAACCATATAATTTAGCATCCTTCTCATACCTTGTTTGTATCTGTGTGTGTGTGTGTGTGTGTGTATATATATATATATTCTCAGGTTTTCGGGTCTTCTACCACGTAAAATTGGAAGTGTCTTGGCCAAGACACTTCCAATTTTACGTGGGAGAAGACCCGAATAACCAAAGACCTACATACATACATACATACATACATACATACATACATACATACATATATATATATACACACCAGTCTGTCTCAATTCCCTGTCCTTCTAGTTCTTGTTTTCCTTTCAATTCTCCCTCATCTGTTAGTAAATCTTTATATCTAACAATATTGCCAAAAGTAAAAACATTTGGGTGTATTAAAGCTTCCATAGTCGATAACCATATTGGTATTTTCACATAGTATTTGTCTCTTACTTTCTCCCAGACCAATAACAATGCATTTCTTACATAGTGTCTATGAAAATATGTGTGTATCTTATTTCTTCCATACCACAAAAAAGCATGCCATCCTAGTTGTAAGTCATATCCTTCCAATGTTAAGAACTTTATATTTCTTAACTCCACCCATTCCTTCAACAATGTCAGAGTTACTGCCTGGTAATATAGTTCCCAATTTGGTAACCCAAATCCACCTCAATCTTGTAGCTTGCATCATTCTTATGCTTATTCTTGCCTTTTTCCCTTGCCATATATATTTCCTTATTATTTTATTGAGATATTGAAAATAGGTCTTTTCGATTTTTATCAGCACAGTCTGAAATAGAAACAATAATCTTGGTAATATATTCATTGTTATTAGTGCAATCCGTCCCATGAATGATAGTTGAAGATTCTTCCATTTTTCCAAATCTCTTTCAATTTGCTGTTTTAATTTATAATAATTATCTTCTTTTATTGTTACACATCTTTAAGTTAAATATACTCCAAGCTACTTAACTTTGTTCACTATTTGTATATTCAAATTTTCTTCTATCTCTCTTTTTTGTTTTTCTATCATATTTTTAGCCAAAAAGATTACTGAGAATCTTCATAGACATTTAGAAAAGCAGAATTTACTCTGATGTCTTGGGTACAATCTCCACTGTGTGAAGAGACAGATACTGAGATTTTGCACTGTGTTCTTTTAAAGAACTTAATATGGTTTTAGAGTTGTAAAGGCAAGAAACAGGTTGAAAAGTTGCACGTAGCATAAATTTGTTTTTTAATCATGTAGGATGATAACAGCTTGACCTGACCTTGCCAGGATACTTGGTATGATAGGGAAAGTGCAAAGCTGGTAACTAGCAATACCATCTTAATGTAGTTCTTTATTCATTCAGTGTGTCATCCATTGTAGAACAGAATGATTTCAAGTGATTTACTGTATATAACCCACATAAAACAAGAATAACATTCAGTAAACTTCAAATATGTGCAAACTTTAAAAGCAGAAAAACTCATTTAAATTGAAAGGGACTAAACAATATGTAGCACTAATCATTAAATATACAAATACATTTCTGAAAGAAGTTTAAATCATGGACTGAACAGCAAGATCATATAATTGTTTTAATGGCCTACAAGAAAAGTTACTAAAATCTGTTGCCAAAAAAGGTATAAAAGACTGATATCTTTGGAAGTATAATGTGTAGTGGCTGTCATTGATAAAGATCACTCATGGATAGGTGTTTCTTTCATCATCATATCTGAGAGCATCCAGAGCAGAACCTTGAATGGCTATCTTAGGACATTAGTGGGAGTATATATTTTATTTTGAAAATAATTGATATTACTAAATTACTTATGTATTACAGGTAATTCCATATGATAAATCCATTTTAGTCCGATCCAGCAGTGAATCTAGATTATTATTGTAAACCCTAGACCCTCAGGATGCCATTTGATTTGTTGAAAATAAGTATTTGTCTGATATGATTATTTTCATGTTGAATAAGTCTTATTAAGTTTGAGAGCCATAGACAACCAAAACAATGAAATGTCTCTTTCTATCCCTGGCAGAATAAAGTTTGGCAGACTAGCCAGCAGGAGACTAAATAGATCCTGTTGAAGCAGATTCCTTTGCATAATACCTCTTATTATTATCTGCAATTAATTAATAACTCTCACTACTTAATGTCTGGTGTAGCTTTTTCAGAAATTATTGGGAAACTTTCAGAACAGAATATTCTGTTAAAATAAATAAATAAACTTTAGGTTTAGACTTCTGTCCACAATATATGTGTATCACATACTTTAAAATGTTTGATGATGTTAGTATAACGTATCCATTTTGCAAACAGCATTTGGATGTTTTCTCAGAATAGTCTATGTAACAAAGGTGGGATTTTCTTCCCTTTGGATTACTGTATTTTTGTCAGTGGCACTGTGTCAGGAGCCATGTGCTAGTGAGAAGAAAAAGAGTTTTTGACCCAGAAATGATTTTTGTCTCTCTTTCGTCAACAATTGTCAATAAATTATCATATTATTCTTCCTGAGGAAAGAGATTTTGAAATCCATCCTAGGATCATCAATTATCCATTCAAATTCTAATGGCAGAATTAAAAAGTAAAAATCCCTTTTATGTACCTTTATTAAAATTTTAAAGCAAAAGATAAAAACTAATAAAAATTTATATTTAGAATGGAAAAAAGAAGAAAAAGGAAAGAATTAAGAAAAGAACAAAGACAAAAATGCAGAATTCAAAGACAAGAAAAAGTATTATAAAGAAGTTACTTTCAATTTTCTTTTACCTCAGTTATAAGTATAAATGTAAATTGATCTCTTGAGTTATGGTTAAATCACTGTTCATATACTTTCTATTATCTTTGTTTTAAAAAAAACATTAAAACCATACACCATAAATTTATTTTTTGTTTTCTGCAAAAAATCAGTAAAGAGTTTCTAATCAACATTAAACTTAGACAGTGTTCTTTCTCTACTTAGAGCTGGCCAACTCAGCAAGTTCAATCAACTTCACCATTCATTGCTCTCTTGTAAGTAAAACCAAATCTTTCTACCTTTGTACAAAA